AAAAAAAAAAAAAAAAAAAAAAAAAAAAAAAAAAAAAAAAAAAAAAAAAAAAAAAAAAAAAATAAATGAAGACAAACCTGAGTGTGAGGGGTAACCCCCCTGACGCTGCTGCTCTTTTTCTTAGCTTTGCATAAAAAGAAGAAAGTTTAGTGCTTATGGCCGGTAGAGAACAATCCAGGGTGGGGTGGCAGTAAGCTCTGTATAAAAGGAGACAAAAGGAGACAGAAAAAGGAGACAGATAGAAGGAGACAGAAAAAGGAGACAGATAAAGGTGGGGGTGTATATAAAGAAAAAAGAAAAAAGAAAAAAGAAAAAAAAGAAAAAAAAGAAGAAAGTTTAGTGCTTATGGCCGGCAGAGAACAATCGAGGGTGGGGTGGCAGTAAGCTCTGTATATTAAAAAGAGAAAAAAGAAAGGAGACAGAAAAAGGAGAGATAGAAGGAGACAGCAGAAGGTGGGGGTGTATATAAAGAAGAAAGAGAAAAGAAAAAAGGAGACAAAAGAAAGGAGACAGCACAGGATGTGGGTGTATATAAAGAAAAAAGAAAAAAGGAGACGGAAAAAGAGAAAGAAAAAAAGAGAAAGAAAAAAGGAGACAGAACAAAGGAGACAGCAGAAGGTGTGAGTGTATATATACAGCAGAAAGAAAAAAGAAAAAAAAAGAAAAAAAAAGAAAAAAAAAGAAAAAAGGAGACAGAAAAAAGGAGACAGAGAAATTACACGCACAAAGAAGTAATAATAGTAACAACAAACCAGCATTTGCCTCAGCAGCAGCAGCAGCAACAGCAGCAGCAGCAACAACAGCAGCAACAGCAGCAGCCACAGCAACAGCAACAACAACAGCAGCACCAGCAGCAACACCAGCAGCAGCACCAGCAGCAACACCAGCACCAGCAACAACAACAGCACCACCAGCAGCAACACCAGCAGCAGCAGCAGCAACAGCAACACCAGCAGCAGCAACAGCAGCAGCAGCAGCAGCAGCATCATACCTCGCATAGAGAATATATTTTTGTAATATTTCTTGATCGATAGGTTCGTGTGCTTCTGTTGCTCTTATCTGTGCTTCAAGCTGCTGCACCCGCTGCTGCTGCTGCTGCTGCTGCTGCTGCTGCTGCTGCTGCTGCTGCTGCTGCTGCAGTTGAGAGACATTGGGGTGGTGCAGCTGGTGGTTTGTTAATACATACTCAGCCAAAGAGAAATCCTCATCAGCATCAGGCTGTATATACACCACAAATATTTATTTATATTTATATATTTATATTTATTTATTTATATTTATTTTTATTTTTATTTTTTTGTATTTATTTTTTTTATTTTTTTGTTTTTTTATTTTTTTATGTCGCTCAGTACACAGACGATGTCAGACCCTTTAATCTAAATACTATATAATACACTTATACTTATATTTATATTTATTTATATTTATTTATATTTATATTTATTTATATTTATTTATTTATTTATATTTATATATTTATAAATAAAAATATCTATTTATAAACATATTTATATAAACTTACAATACCTCTGAGTACACAGACGAGGTCAAACCCTCTAATCTAAATACTATATAACATAAACTTTTATATATATATATATATTAATATTTACATCTATATTAATATATTTATTTATATTTATTTATATTTATATTTATTTATTTATATTTGTTTATATTTATTTATTTATTTATATAAACTTACAATATCTCTGAGTACACAGACGAGGTCAAACCTAGATAAGAAGGGATACTATATAATACATCTATATTAATATATTTATTTATATTTATATTTATATTTATATTTATATTTATATTTATATTTATATTTATATTTATTTTTTTTATTTATAAATAAATATTTATATAAACTTACAATATCTCTGAGTACACAGACGAGGTCAAACCTAGATAAGATAGGATACTATATAATAGATTTATATTCATCTTTATATTTATTTATGTTTATTTATTTATATTTATATATTTATAAATAAAAAAAACAAATAAATATAAATATAAATATAAATATATTTATATAAACTTACAATATCTCTGAGTACACAGACGAGGTCAAACCTAGATAAGATAGGATACTATATAATACATTTATATTCATCTTTATATTTATTTATATTTATTTATTTATATTTATTTATTTATAAATAAAAAACTAAATAAATATAAATATAAATATAAATATAAATAAAAATATAAATATATAAACTTACAATATCTCTGAGTACACAGACGAGGTCAAACCTAGATAAGATAGGATCAGATAAATCCACGTTTTCGCGAAATGTATAAGAAGGAATATAACGACCTATAAAAAAAAAATAAAAAAAAAATAAATATAAATAAATAAATAAATAAATAAATATAAATAAATATAAATAAATAAATATGAATAAATGAACATAAATAAATAAATAAATATAAATATAAATATATATAAATATAGATGTTTTTATATAAAGGTGTAAGAAGGAATATAACGACCTATTAAAAAAAAATAAAAAAAATAAATAAACATAAAGAAAATAAATAAACACAAATATAAATAAATAAATATAAACATAAATAAATAAATATAAATATAAATAAATAAATAAAAGATAAATCCACGTTCTCACGAAATGTGTAAGAAGGAATATAACGACCTATTAAAAAAAATAAATATAAAAAAAAATAAAAAAAATAAAATAAATATAAATAAATAAATATAAATATGCAACGAGAACAGCACATCTAGCTTTGACGGATTATAAAAAACCCCAAAAAAACCAAAAAAACAAAAAAAAAACCAAAACAACTCAAACAAAAACAGAACAAGAAACACAAACACAAAGAAGAAAAAACAAAGAAGAAGAGAATTAAAGAAAAAAAAAGAAAAAAAGAAAAAAAAGAAAAAAAGAAAAAGAAAAAAAGAAAAGAAAAAGAGTACCGAATTTGGGGCTAGCAGCAGCAAGAACAGCACATCTAGCTTTGAGGGATTATAAAAAACCCAAAAAAAACCAAAAAAAACCAAAAAAAAACACAAAAAACTCAAAAAAAAAGCAAACAAAAGCA